TCATGGCTGGTGAGTTTGAGCCCCACATTGGGCTCTGTGCTGACTACTTGGAGCCTGGAGCCTGCTGCAGATTCTGTGTCTCTCGCTCGCTCTCTCTTTGCTCCTGTCCTGCTCACGCTCTGTCTCTCTCTCTCAAAAATAAATAAACATTAAAAAAATTTTTAAATATTTTTATTCTAGGCAGGATTGCCAGATCTCAAATGGTTGTGTCCCACCCTAGATAGTTCTTTAATTTTGGCATTTCCTTCTAGGGCAGGTGTTCTCAAACTTTAGGGACACATCAGAGTCACTGAAGAAGTAGGAAAGAACGCAGAAGCCCCTAGGCCATTGAGTGAAGAAAGGATCTAAGCATTTGTGTTGACAGCAAGTTGCCTAAGTCATTTTGAAATGACATGGTTTGAGTACCTCGGCTCTGTGAGGATTACAAAGTAAGAATGAGGATTAAATGAGTGAAAACACATAGAATTTTTAAAACAGTACCTGAAGTTTCTGAAAGTCCTTATTGCTGTTAACACAGTAATAGAAGACTCTGAAGGTGGTTACAAATAGGAAAGCGCTCTATAGATTGTCAGCTTGCAGCCTGTATTTCCCAGAAGGCTTATTGCAAGTCCAAAAGAAAGCACAGGGTGGAGGATGAAACCTCTAACCCAGGTAAAGGAAGGAAGGAAGTCTTACTTCTTGAAGCAGCAAGGTACCACCCTAGACAGGTCTCCTGGAGACAGGGAGATTCTTTTATAAAGTGAAGTCACAGACAAGGATGAACTTCTATCATCAGGCCAACTTCCTCTATAGACAGTGATTCCATTTCCTGTCGGGTACTTGAGTTCCTAGCGTTAGAAACATGCTGAATGAGGGGCGCCGGGGTGGCTCAGCCTGTTAAGTGCCTGACTTTGGCTCAGGTCATGATCTCGTGATTTGTGAGTTCCAGCCCCGCATCGGGCTCTGTGTTGTCTCTCTCTGCTTCTTCCCCACTCACACTCTTGTCTCCGTCTCTCTCTCTAAAAAATAAACACTAAAAAAAACAAAAACAAAAACAAAAACAGATAGAAAGAAATATGCCAAATGGGAAAGAGCTGAATTTTTGAGGCTTGGAAAGGAACTTCAGGACTACAAAAGTGGTTTGCATTGCATTGCCAGAGATACATAGTTTCATTGTTGACTAGACACCCAATTACAGTCATCAACTGTGAAGTGACACCATATGAAAGAATTCAAAACCAGCCTGACTCCTGAAGGTCAGTGGAGAGAATGTCAGATATCCTGAATATACGTCTTTCTACCTCACACGTTCTCCATCTGCCCCTTTCCTTTCTTCTTTTTAAAAAATGTTTATTTATTTTTGAAAGAGAGAGAGAAAGAGCACAAGCAGGGGAGGGGCAGAGAGAGAGAGAGAGAGGGAAACACAGAATCCGAAGCAGCCTCCAGGCTCTGAGCTGTCAGTGCAGAGTCTGATGCAGGGCTCGAACCCACAAACTGTGAGATCATGACCTGAGCTGGAGTCGGACACTTAACCGACTGAGCCACCCAGGCGCCCCCCTCCATCTGCCCCTTTCTTTTCTTAAGGACCCAGTTCTGGCGTCCAGCCTGCACAAAAGTCCCAAACCCACAACATAATTCCCAAGCCCGGGGTGATATACTTGGCTGTTGTTGGCCAAGGATAGCCACTGATAAAAGAGAAGTCAACACTTAATCCTATGACCACCTCTGACCCCCTAAATTCCCACCATTGACTCCATTCCTTTCATGTGGTCCTCGATTTCCTTGATTCTTCCCTTGCCCCTTCCCCTATTGGCTGAGCACTGACTGACCATCACAGCTTTGATGTGATGTGTGAGGAGAGGGTTGGGAAAAAGAAGAAAGACTCAGGGCCACAGTTACTTCCTCAGTAGAAGCTGCTGGAGGTGGGAGTATTTGGCCCCACTGGCAGAGACTATGTGATCCATGGACTGATTAGTCAATTCCACAAGGGGAATTCAGAGAAAAATTTTGCTCAGCAGGAGGTCAAGCAGAGGGGAGTTAAGAGAGACCTTGCACAATATTTGTAGTTAAATTATAATCTTCTGGGAAGAGTCTTCATCCATTGTAGATAGCGTTCCTTCCCTGGATTCAGGGGAGGGGGCGGGGGAAGCAGAGTAGTGTGTCAGTAGGAATATTCACTTTCACTGTGTATATATATATGAGTCAATTCAAAATAGTCATAGAAATATCATTTTAATTTGTCACTTACAAAATTAAATTTATGAAATCACTAGTGTAATAAAAATAGATGATAGAACTAGAACAAAAAAGCAAAACACTAAGAGAAAGGAGAAAGGGAAGAACTGGGAATCACACGGAAAATAAAATGAATTTATTTATTTATTTATTTATTTATTTATAAAGGTTTATTTGAGAGGGAGAGAGAGAGAGTGGAAGGGACAGAGAGAAAGGGGAACAGAGAGAATCCCAAGCAGGCTCTGTTCCATCAGCACAGAGCCCGATGCAGGGCTCGAGCCCATGAGAACTGTGAGATCATGACCTGAGGCAAAGTTAGACACTTAACCCACCAAGCCATCCAGCTGCCACCATAAAATGATTTTAAGTAAGAGACAGTAAGTATATCAATAGATACATGGCAATTTCTTCCATCAATTTCTTTTCATCGTCGTCTTATAGATTTCAGTGCACAGGTCTTTCACCTCCTCGGTTAAATTTATTCTTAGGTATTTTATTCTTTTTGATGCAATTTAAACTGTAATACTATTTAAAGAACTATTAAATTTAAAATTAAATAACATATTAATAATTTCAAATAAGGAGAACTGACATTTTTACCATGTTTGAACACCTTAACTGACCTGTCATTTTTTATTTTTATTTTTTTATTTATTTTTTATTAAAAAAAATTTTTTTTAACATTTATTTATTTTTGAGACAGGGAGAGACAGAGCGTGAACAGGGGAGGGTCAGAGAGAGAGGGAGACACAGAATCCGAAACAGGCTCCAGGCTCTGAGCAGTCAGCACAGAGCCCGATGCGGGGCTTGAACTCACAGACCGCGAGATCATGACCTGAGCTGAAGTCAGACGCTTAACCGACTGAGCCACCCAGGCGCCCCTGACCTGGCATTTTTTAAAAAACAAATGTTTGGCTTTCTTGGCCTGTCCTACATGCTCACTCTGAACCCTCCGTCACCATCCTTTCTTACTTCATAGTCTGCTTCTCTCCTCACCACTTGACAATCTAAACACACAGGATTTCTCCCAGTCCTTTGAGGCTCCACGGGATCTTTTCAGGTGATTTTCTTTCTGTAAGAAAGAACTGGACTGGACCCAATTATGTTTCCAAAATATGTTTAAAGAATACTTTAAAGAATGTTTAAATACTTCCATGTATTTTCATAAGACCCAAGGTGAGAGATTTCCCCAAATTCCTTAAACTTAGAAATGTCCTCCATTTACACTATTTCAAAATTCTCTGCACTTCTCTGAAGATCCTAAAACAGAGAGAGTAATATTTGTATACTTAAGTATGTGATGTTCATTTTTACCTCTATTATAAGACCACTGGCTATTACTGGCCTTGTTTGCCATGACATTGTCTATCACACAATAGTTAATAAAATGCTAACAAATGTTTATATATTTTTTAATGTGTTTTTTTTTTTTTTTTGAGAGAGAGTGAGAGACAGAGCTCAAGCAGGGGAGGGGCAGAGAGACAGGGAGACACAGAATCTGAGAAGCAGGCTCCAGGCTCAGAGCGTCAGCACAGAGCCCAATGCAGGGCTCGAACTCACGGACTGTGAGATCATGACTTGAGCCAAAGTTGCATGCTTAACCGACTGAGCCACTCAGGCACCCCAAGGTTAACAAATGTGCAAATAAATGATTAAATCCCATTAGAAATCTCATAGCACTGAAGCCAGATTGGGACAACAATTCACCTTGCCCTACAGACAAAGCAGAATTGAGAGACTCGAGTGTCACTGACCATGAGCACAAAGGGGCTGAACGCTGGAAAACACGAGGAGACAAACCCAGTGCTGTTCACCATCCACTGGCCTGGATTTGCAACCAGAGTCATCCAAACAGTTAAAATAGCATAGATTGAATAAAAGGTAACCAAGAAACTCACCAGGACCAAGATGGTGTGTGTGGCTCTGGCCTCGTGGGAAGATCTGGGGGAAAGGCTGTTGCTGTGAATGTGTTGGACTTGCTGCTTGTGCTTGAGCAGGACAAAGACCATGGAGCCACTGGCCCAGACCATGAAGCTCAAACCCATATAAAAATATATGACTGCAAATAATATGTTAAATCTCCCTACCCCATTCCAGGAACTTTATCCATTTCTTGTCACACTAAGGTTTTTGTTATTGGATGGACCGTTTACTATTAGAGGAATAAATGAATTTATCCAGAGATGTAGGGTCCAGCAGAGGAAACAGCAGAAGCCAAGGAACTTTGGGGATCTAATCTTGAGCTCCATCCACCTACACATACTAGGGTTCAGCTTAATAGCTTGGAAGTCATTGAGGAGACATATAGTGCTGGAGGAAACCCCTGTGCTCACTCTGTAATAATAAAAGACAAGTTTATATGCAGCAGCACCCAGGAAATTTTGGGATCCAAAAGCCACCATTGTTTGAGGGATCCCTTTGGAGAAAAGGATGATGGAGTTGGCTAGGACCAGCTGGTTGAAAATCAGGTCTGTGGGTCTCAATTTGTGTCCAGTGAGCAAAGAGAAGGTATAAAGACCAAGGAGGGATGAATTTCCTAGGATCCCATCTGCAGTCTGAGTGAGGAAGATATTCCCCAATTCCAATGTGCCAACACCTATTGCATCAATATCTAGGGATGGATCTTAATTGAAGTCAGAAGAATGAAAGCAAAAACAGTAGCAATAAATGCCTTGCCAACACTATGCAGAGTACTTTTCATCACTTATCCTAAAACTTATTTCTCACTTTAAGTGGGTATTAACATTTTATGCTTTGTGTGTATGTGTGTGTGCGTGCATCAGCATGCAATTAACTGATGAACTAGATTAGAAATAGCCTCTTGTAATCATCAAACTTGCTAAGAGATTCTAACTTAATTATTCTAATGACTAAAATGAACGAATAATGGTGCAACACGATAGAGGTGCCCATTACCACTACAGTGGCAATCACATTACAATATACAAATGTATCAAATTAACATGTCGCACACATTAACTTGCACAATGTCATATGTCAGACACATTTCAATGAAAAAATAAAATCCATTAAAATAGAAAGAGAAAGAAAACTCTGCCGAGTGAGCACAAATGAACAAATTTTTTAAGAGAGAGAGAGCGCGGGAGCAGGGGAGAGGCAGAGAGAGAGAGAGGTAGACACAGACTCCGAAGTAGGCTCCAGGCTCTGAACCATCAACACAGAGCCGGACATGGGGCTTGAACTCACAAACTGAGATCATGACCCGAGCCGAAGT